AATTATTTTTCGAGAGGACCATGTTGGTTAATGCATAGGACCGATGATGCAGTGATTTGGAGGAAGTTGCAGAACTTAACTGTTCATGTGGGAGAGTCTGCTGACTGAACAATCTGTCTTTCATTTTACAAATGTGTGCTTACATATGAGAGATGGGAACTGCACATATGAAAAAGAATGTTTTCTGTTCTGATTAATCAAAATTCCACTTTCTGCCTGATGTTGCAAAAAAATCTCTCAGAACATGCAATCAACTGGTTTTCCTAACCGATCTTACATTACGGTCTCTGTAAAGTGTCTTGAGATTAAGTGTCATGAATTGGTGCTGTTTAAATAAACTGAATTAAGATTGATTTGAAAATGGAGTTACATATTACACATACTATATGCACTTTGACAATGACGACATCAGCATCATGCTGTAACAATGCTTTTGGATATTTTGAAGCTTGGCAGAGCTGACGGGCAGATGGATAAAGATCACAACAGGATGATCCGATATTAATATTAATATAATGATATTAATATTCTGAGGATAAAAATGATACAAAGATATAAATACTTTAACAAGGATTTGCAGGTGAACTACATGACAAACCACAGCAGTTAGAAAGTCCTACCATTTAAAAAAGGACCAAATCTATGAATCTACAGGACAAAATAAAAAAACTTTTTTGCAGCTTGAAAAGAATTTCTACTTTTTGACTAACATTATCATAGTCTATGTGTGTGTATATTGCATGTGTTGGTGTCTGGGTAAGCTTAAAGCAGTGAGTTAAAGCATAAAAAGTCTCTGAGAGCTGACTCATCCCAATATATCAGGCAAACACATGCCGTGTGTCTTGACTTCATTTCACATATTTATGCTTGTTTTGTTTTCCATTAGTGTGGCAGGCTGAGCATTAAGGAGGCGGAGCAGGCTGAGGAAACGATGCATCACTGACAGGATCACAAGCTAGAGAAGTGAAGTATAGCCTGAGATGAATCATGCAAAATCGTAAAAAGCTTACCTGTTAAAGCACCTCTTTGCAAAGCAGCAGCAATAAAATCAAAGCTAGGTGCCAAGTACGTAAACATCTTTTAGTAAATTGGAATCACATAATCAGCAAAAAATTGAAAACTATATATTTTATGATTAAATGTTACTTCTAGTTCACATGCATTTTATGGATTCCAAAATGTCACAATTATGTATTCTGGAACCATTAATTTACCATTATTAATGAAGTCCTCACTCATATCATAGGCTTCTGCTTTTAATCTCTTTTCATATTAATTCTGGCTTAAAAACAGAGATAAATGTAAAAGAAACTATGCTATCTCATTGTGTGACATTAAAATAGGTTTCATTTGAATTGTTAATACATCAACACAAATTAGTGTATAACTGCAAAGCCTGAGAATATGCTTTTCAAAATGTTCAAAGTGCAGACCTTGAAAGTATGATGCATTTTTATTATCAGCCCATTACTTTTTGTAATAATTGTTCATGTTCTGCCTTTTTGAATCAGAATCAGAACTACTTCATTAATCCCTTGTGGGACATTCCTTTGTTGCTTCTTTCACCAGTTTCAGTGCTATGATGAGCTCTAAAGCCAGACTTAAACTTTTATCCGTTTATTATGGTGTAAGTGGTCACACACTTGTTTGGCAACTACTTTCTCCAGAATTTTAGATCAGAAAGGACGATTGGATATAGGTCTATAATTTACCAAGTCATCTGGGGTTCTACAGTAAAGGTTTGATTACAGCTACATTAAAAGCCTTAGGTACATATCCCTGTAACAGGGTGAGATTAATCACATCTAAACTGAAGGAGTAGATCAATGGGAATACTTCGCTAAATAACCTGGTTGGAACTGGATCTAATATACAAGTTGAAGGCTTAGATGAAGACAATAGTTTTGTTAACTCTGAAAGTTAAACTGGATCAATGCAGTCTAAACCCAGTTCAGATTCTATGGCTACCTCAGATGCTGCCTCACCGTCCACAGATAAAACAATCATAGTTAATAGTCATAGAACATATTATTAGTCATAGAACTAGCAACCCCATCAACAAAATCATCAACCTGTGAAGGGGAATAAGTTAAACTTTTGCCCTCTGCAGCACTACTCAGTGACACAGAGGACAGAGAAAATGAAACAGATTCTTTAACGTTTATAACTGCTCTATCTGAAAATGATCTGCTTAAGGGAAACCTTCTTTTAATAACCTTCTTCTTAATTTAACTGTGTTAAATTAATCTTGAAGGTTATTAAAAAGTGGTCAGAGAGGACAGGGTTGTGAGGAAACTGTTATTTCTTCACATTCTTGCCATATGTCAGCACAGGGTCAAAAGTATGAAGATGAGAATGTGTGGGACTATTCACATTTGGAACAAAATAAGATTTTAAGTACAAATAAGATATAACAAGAAAATACAGATCACATTATATACAATCAACAGTATTTATAATTTGCTGCTTATTACCAAATTACAATTATTGCACATGACTGTGTTATTGCAATAAAATAAATGACTCGAATAGATTCTAATAAATGACTGTTAGACAGAGCCATTAATGATTACTACAGGCAGGAATGACTTTCTGTGGCACACTGTGCTGCAGTGTGATGAAATCAGTTTCTGACTGAAGGTGCTTCTCTGGGTGACCAGCAAATCACTAGAAGGATGTGCAGAATTGTCCAGCATGGATTTTATCCTGGCAAACATTCTGCTGTCAGAGTTCAGATCCTCCCACCAACGTGACTGTTTTGCAGTTGAGTTTGTTTAATCTGTTGACATCTTTCACTCTCAGTCTTCTGCCCCAGCATGCAACAGCATAAAGGATGTTACTGACCACCAAAGCCTCATAAAACATCTGCAGCATTGTCCGCAGATGTTGAAGGACCTCAGCCACCTCAGAAAAAGTACACCTCTAAGTATTTATAATCCTCCACAGTGTCCTCCTCCTCATTGATCACACAGATAGAAGCAGGGCTGACTGGGGCCTACTCCTTCTCACATCCACCAGCACCTTGGTCTTTGCCACCTTGAGCTGCTCACACCAGGTGACAAAGGTGAAGAGTTGAGGTTGAAAAAGAGAGAGTGTTTATAAATAACTGCAGTATCCTTAAAAAAAAAAAATTAGAGGAAACTGCAAGTTTGGTCTTTGACAGGACAATGAAAACACATGAAAATGCTGTAATCTAGACTGTTCGATTGTAGCTCTGACTGTGTTTAGTGATCTCATCCTGCCAGAAGGTGAATGTCGAACCCAGTCTCTTTCTTCTTTTACATGTCGTCTTCCAGAATGCTCCTCTATTCCATCTTCCATGAAGTCTAACCAGGGTCCCTGTCCCTGCTGAAGAAAAGCATCGCCATGACAGGATCTGGCCATGACTGTTTCATTGTGGGGATATTGTGTTAAGGTTAAAGTGCATATTCATCTTTTTACTCTAAATAGTATTGTGTATGTATTTGAAAAAAAGTCACATGTAGGTTTCTTTAGTATTAAATGTGTAAGTTTCAAAAATATAGAATTTTTTTGGGCTAGTATTGCTAATAGTTAAATACCATATAAAATACCATCTTAATATCTATGCACACTTAGGTTGGGCATGATGTCATTGAAGTTCCAAGATAGTATGTGGGATCCAGTATAAGCTGCAAGACTGCAATCTGTTGTATTGCTTTAGATTTGAACTTTATAAAGAAGCAATTATCTCTCTTTAGCCACGTCTGTAACGTAAAAACCAAACTAAACCATTTATGTAATTTAATAATACATATTATTACTGCACATACAGAGTGTTACATCAACTCAATATCAATCTCCAGTACCCAGTTCAGTAAATAAACCAGAAGAACATTTGAACCACGGAGGGAGGAGAAAGAGACATGCCGTCACTGAGTGCTGTCAGCCATCGCTGCCTCTCATGGTGATTCAAGCTTTCCCAGTGATTCATGTCTGTGCTGAGACTAAAACACAGCCCAGACTGTTGTCACTCTTCTTTTTCTCACCACATCCATCCCCCTTCTCCTATTATTTGTCCCCTCCTCTCCATTTATCTCTGTGTCCATCTCCCCTCTGCTTCCTGCCTGCTAATTGTTGTTGTACCATACCGGTTATTTTTTCCACTGAGGGGGCACCATCTCTCCTGCAGCCCACATTTCCCTGCAGCATTTCAAGGCTCATACTGTTAGACCTCCAGGATGTTCAAAAACTCCTAACACACCCAGTTCCACCTGTGGGCTGGTGCAGCCCAGCAGGGGATTTCACTACTGTGATGATGGGGTGCACTGTTCCTTCCTGAACCCAAATAAATCTGTCTTTGGCTTCTGTCCTGGAGTGTGTTTCCAACACACTGCAAAGCACATGAAATGATAGCATATTCCTATGGCTGGGATTCACTCTTCAGTGACCTTGCTCAGCAATCAGAATCTGCCTTCTGATGATACATTGGAGTTCAAACGATGGTGTCTGTTTTGTTTTTGTTTTTTTTAAATCACTGTTCACACTTGTCAGTTTGCTGATTTATATGCTGAATCTCTGCCATAGTTGTGTTCTAGCCTCTATTGAGCTCTGTGTAAATTCCACCTTGACTTCCCCTTTCAGAAAAATTGCAAGACTGGACTTGTAAGGACATTTCCACTGAGTGAAGGACCTCTGCCATCTCACAGAATGCGAGAAACTACCATCCTCAGGCTATACGCACACACACACACCCTCACACAAACACACACACTCAACTCTGAGCATCTACACATGCTGGCAAGCATTTTTAGAAAATAATGGAGGCAAAACCATTTAGTTAATTTATTTTTATTTTGTAGTTTAAACACAGAATAAATACATTGAAAGAAGTTGTACATTTTAAGATGTGGGTTCACAAAGGACACTGAATAAACTATGTTCTTCACCGTTTTCCTCAGTTTTTCATTTATGTTCAAATTTTAACAGCCACAAAAGCTATTTTTATCTGGGTTTAATACACAATTCCATTATTTTTGTGAATAAACTGATTTATATTAAAGTGGAAAATGTCATTTATCTGTGTATTACACAATTTTAGAAATGCAGGATCACATGTATTTCTTATGAAGTCTAAATTGTTCAGTTAGCAGGTTGTGCATTAATGTAGTTCCAGCTGTGCGAATCTGTTGTTGCAGTTCAGTTCTGGTGGCTTACGATGGATCTTTAGCCCGTTAAAGTATGTCTGCACAGACAGAGAAACTGTGCTCTGGTTCCTGCACGTAGCTCACCTGCCATGAACGTCCTAGAGTAGGAGGTGGCTCTATGAAACTGTCCATGTATCCTTGAGGGCATGAGTTCCATATATCCGACTGATACTCCAACCCATCACCCATCGGAAGGTATCTCAATGGACTAGACAGATTGTCATGTCCACTGCATTGTCCATGAGAGGCATAAAAATGTCTCTCGGCTGGATAGCAAGAGTAGTGAGGTGACAGTGGACAAGATTTCATGGTGCTATCCATGTAGACATGGGAATCTGCAGACAGCCTGCGCAGGTGAGATCCTTTTTGCTGCTCCATCTGCTGGGAGGCAGATGCATGCCAAGGGATGCAGCTTTGATGCTCTAGCCGAGGTACACCAACCCTGTTCTGCTCAAGTCGAGACCCTCCCATCACAGCTGGCCCTACAGAAGACCTGTGGCACTCTCGGTGGCTGCAAGGCTTGTTGGGAGGATTTGAGCTCAGGTAAACAGAGAGGGAGGAGATGCGGTTAATTGCCCTCTGCAGTGTAGCGATCTTAGATAGCCGTTTGCCATTTAAGTCATGATTCAGTGCAAGACGAAGAGCATTGAAGGCTTGGTTGTAGTCCATTATACGCTTTCGCTCACGCACATTAGCAGCCATTCTCCGAGCCTTTGAACGGACGGGTCTGTTGCGTTTCTTGTTCTGGCTTTCCTCAGTGTCAATGAGGCTGTCTTCAAAAGTTGGTTTACCGCTTCCATCGCTGTCACCTTGTCCCAGCACGCCAATCTCGAGCTCTTCCTCTGAGAATTCTGAACCTGTGACACTGCTGCAGCTCATCGTGTCTATAATGCAGACACTATCCAAGTACAATCTAAGTCTTGGGGAGGAAAGAAATTCGCTGCACGTTTCTAATCTCATCAACACTCTCCCTGTTTGTTTAATGGGGCTGTAGGTATTTGCCGCTACTCAGACAGCCCGGGTGTTCTCTCCGTCTTGCTCCTCTGGTGCACCGTGGTTACCTGTACCTTAAAAGACAGGTTGGTCTGCTTTTTAAAACATCTTGGAGTCACATGGTACAACCACTCATGAGGAATGATGCACTCTCTCTCCCTTTCCATGTTTACGGGTGCCCTGCAGGCAAATGGCAGTGTCACCTCTTCCTGCTGCTCTGACTCTCCCTCACATCTCTCATCGAATCACGTAGAAGAGCTGCAGCTACGTATGCCCTTGTAACATAAGCAAAAAACCTAGAGAAACACATTTAAAACCCAATAATCACATATAAATAAAAAAGAAATGTAGCTGTTCTTAATTTTGATGTTGAATAAGAGAAAACTTTTCATGTTTTGGGTCAGATATGATGTTTATTTATAAGCGTTTTTCAAAAAATCTTTAAAGTGCTTCATTTTGATATTTTCTCCTCACTCACCTAATTGCATGAGAAATCATAAACTCCATTCTTCCCTTACAGTCTTTTCATAAAGTCACACAGTTTTTATGATCTCAGTTGCTGCAATTACATTTCGTTTATGTGTTACAACTTGTTCATTTTTTGATAAAATATCATCCCTCTATCAAATCACTTAAGATGGTTCCTAATCTTTACTGCATACTTATCAGAGTGACCAAATAAGCTATATGTTTCCTCTATAGAAGAAACAGAACCTTCTTATCTGTTGCAGGTCAAATTCATCCCATTAGCTGTCTATACAGAGCTATTCTCTCTCCCTGTCTCCCTTTTTGCTCAGCTTTAAAGGCCATGTAATTTAAAGTGGCTGCCTTGAAACCTGTTCCCATAAATCAGGCCTGGGCAGCACCCGAGGACAAGACCAAAGTGAGCCTTTGATTTCAAGAAGAGGGAAAACCAAGGGTAAGTATTTCACAATTAGAACCTGTGATTGCTGCTGTCTTCAACAATCGATCTTTCTCTTGTGAGGAAAGGGTACCACCTCCAGAAAGTTGCTCTTTTTTATATATTGTTATTTTTCTTGCCTATTTTCCCTTTTATCCGTATTAAAAATAAAAATGAAATGTTAAATAAAAGTGACTGACTTTCACATAATCGGTTGTTGCTGTAACTTTAGATGATTCCTTGGACTTATACCAGAGTAGAATTTAAATACTAAGTAAAGTAAAGGCAGCCTCTTAGACGATGAACTGAGCATCATAGGAACATTACATACATAATTCTCTATTTTCTAGCTATATGCCTTTTTTGTTGACACAAAAACCTGTAGAACAATTTTAAACCTCCAGCTCTTTTCGCTAGTATGTAATACACTTGATATTAGTTTTAGGAATTTGGTTCCAAATAAAACACTGCTCAATAAAGCTCTAGAGCAGGTTTCCTCGATTCTGGTCCTCAGTATCCTGTGTCCTTACCTTTTTAATTTGTATCTGTTTCAACATGGCAGGACATAGCAGAAAAGCTTGACTGCATGCTAAGGGGCTAATTCAGCCTACTGAAATAATGATACATGCATTTTCTGATCTGCTTAAGCATATTTAGTTACTTTAAGATAATTGTTTGATGTCCTGCCCTGCTGACATGAAACAATTGTGTAAAAGTAATTCTTAATTAAATGTAAGAAAATTTATGCCAAGAAAAATGCATTAAAATAAACATCTAAAAGGTTCAGGATAATGGAGATGGAGGACTGTTTTTTTAGGAGCGCTGATCTACCGTGTTTTACAGCTCTGTTCGTCAGCCAATTAAAATACCAATAAAATATTTTAAAGTTTGTGTTTGCACCATGATAAGATCTTTTTAAAGTCAAGGATTATAAATATTTGCCTGATATATATTTATATGGATTTTCTGTGGATATATAGATGTAGTTCAGTTAAAAAATGCAGATCACAGATGAATGGAAAAGATGATTTTTGCCATCTTTTGATTTTGAAAATCTACCAATCACTTATAAAAGTTAATAGGTTCGCAAGCTGTAAAGTGATATTACATTTTTGCATTACTGTTCATAGGCTTTCAGAAGACAATGAAGAATTTTGTTTTTTTGTCATTACACCTTGGTCTAACTTGTGTTCAGATGAGGTCATTCATGACTGTAGAGTGTTGTCTGCAAACTTGTCTTAGACATGGATAGCAGAGCAGCCAAGTCTGAAGAGAGTGAAGCAGTGAGAACGGAACCCTGTCTGATTCCAGTTGGAGAATAAATGGGAGAGGCCCAGTGCTTCCCTATACTCACCACCTAAGCCCTATTGCCAAGGAAGGTCATGAACCTTCAGGAAATTCATGCTCTTTGTCTCTTGGCTCGGAAGAGTATTGCATATATTCTATGGCACCCCGCTACGGAGGTGCCAGTTTTTGTCTTGTGTTCCTCCCCTGTAAGGTTGTTACTACTGAGCACAACACCATTCTCTTTTCTATAAACCTGTTCAGCTAAAACTGTTTAAAATGTTCTGCTCATGTCACTCAGCTGCAAGTAGAGCAAAGACTTTATCACAGTAAGTGATGTATGACTTTGCAAACATGTCAGATTTACTGCTTCGTTGCACAGAGTATGAAGACTACAGCATCTGACTCTACCTGACCATTCATTTTTGACAGGTGACAAGACGCCAGTAATTATCAGCCGCCAGAAATAAATCACACAGATTTTATCATACTGCTTGCCATGCCCTTGATGGAATAACCATTTTCAAGAGAGGAGCTGTCCAGAATACTAAACCTGGGATTTGTAAATCTCCTGTTCAAGCTACCATAATGACTGGTTGTTAGCCGTTTGTTATTAGAGGTCTCTCTGCCAAAAGTTATAGATGTGTATTTCCAAAGGGGGTACTTAACAGGTAATAAGTGAGTAAGTCCAGGTTCGCTAACCTAGCCTTTGCAAGGTATGTTAATGCATGTTGTTGCTGTTCGCTATGGAATTTTCTCACCCCAATAACATTTCCCTGATGAATGCAAATAGTTTGAAAAAGGTTGAATTGAGTAGATACTACCGTTCTGTAGTTATTCTGCTTGAGTAAAGCAATAACACAATGTCTTATTGTATATTCCGTGTTTTTAGTTTCTAGTCATACAAAGAAAAAAGCTATTTTGGGTTAAATGGTTAAATCATATCCAACAGGAAAAGGTATCCATGCAAAGGTGAGAGAGGTTTGATAGGGGAGCCAAACAGTCGACTGACAAGCCAACCAGTTTAAAGTTCATAGTTTGCCACATCATAAAAAAGTATATTATTCATATATATATGTATGTATATTGGGCTGCACGGTGGCGCCTTGCAGCAAGAGGGTTCTGGCTTCGATTCCTGGTCCAGGTTCTCTCTGCACTGAGTTTGCATGTTCTCCCTGTGGATGCACGAGCTTTATCAGGGTACTCCAGTTTTCTCCCACAGTCCAAAACATGACTGTTAGGTTAATTGGCTTCTTTAAATTCTCCTTAGTTGTGAGTGTGTGTGAATGGTTGTGTGTCTTTATGTTGCCCTGCGACAGAATAGCGACTTGTCCAGGGTGAACCCTGCCTCTCACCCATTGACTGCCGGAGATAGGCACCGGCCCCACCACGAACCTAATGGGAGAAGATATATATATATATATATATATATATTTTTTTTTTTTTTCCTCCAAGCTCGGGTCCTCGGAGCTTGAGGGTTCTGCGCAGTATCTTTCTGTCATAATGATGAGAATATAACATGATCTAAATTATCTAACTTTAAACAGAATAGAAGCATCGTGTACTGCTGCTTTAGAAATCCTATTGATTTACATATTTATTATAGCAGAACACAATCCATGCATCCAAGGGAGGACACATAAGCTGCATACAGTCCATATTTGATAATCAGACCTTCTTGGTGTGAGAAATCCACTGCACCCTTACCACCAAGCCATCAAATCTGAAGCACATCAGTCTGCAATGTTTGTAGACTTTTCCCAGGACATAAACAAATGTCGATGACATCAACACTAGCTGACACAACAGTTGTGAATCACTGTCTAAAATTACTGGCAGTTAGGTGTAGTTGGCTGCTGAACTTTCTTTTCAGTGTGCACGATAGCTATAAAACCTCTGTTAAAACAAAGCCCAGCATATTTCAACACACTCCATATTACAGAAGAGACGGTTAGACGTGTTTTAGCTATAAATCATGATGAGGTGTTGCAGTTTATTCTATCACATTACATCAAGTTCGGGAGGTTTTGATCCCTGAAATCAAAACTGTATTTATTTTCGGGGAGAAAAACGTAATGGTAAGCCTTTATCTAGAATAAAATTTACTATTTGTAAAAATAAGTAGATAAGATAAAAAGAAAATTGTGCAACTACATCAGAACTTGACCTTCCCAGAGTAAAATGCATCTCTTGGACATTGTTAAAAAGTGGGATGTTCTTATAAAGTACACCCCACTTTGATGTCCACCATTAGGTTTTCAATGCAAAAAATATATAAAAAATTAGGAAAATCCCATTTACTAATAATCAGACAGGTAAATAAAAAATGCAGATTTAATGTCAGTGATTTATTAGATGTTGGGTGATTTATGTATTAGGCCAAAATACTTCTGCAGCAATGTGGGAAATATAATTCTAAACCTAAAAAGTTTGACACACCAGAAAGCAGGATCATAGCAAACCTCTCAGTAGCTTTTCTTCTGTCAGTCAGTGTCTGGCCCATAACCAAAATTAGGTAAATTAAAAACTATTCTTAAAGGAGTAAATCACAATATTCGTCATAAAAATAATATCACTCTTAGAGGGGAAGTAGTGATAACAAATATATGTGATTCGTTAAACATAAGATCTAAAGTGTGTTAATGTCTGTATTTTATGAAAATCAGAGTGATTTATGTTGTTTTAGAGTAACCTGGCTGCAGCAAGAGGATTAAAGTCGACAAAATGAGTAAAATCCCTCTAGTTATGTTAATATTCCAACATCCAGAAATCAGGCCCAGAAATTCTAGATGAGGAGGAAGAATAGTCACATTTTTTGATTCA